GAGCCACAATAACAAAGAGCTACCTTATACCTTGCCCACATCTCCCACTAAAGTTCCTTTACTGTCTCCATCCACCACCTACCATCGCTGAAGAGAACCCAGAGATGAGGTACAATTCTATTTTACTCGCAGCTTTGCTGCTCTGGGCCTTCTCTGAATTGAGGCACATCTGTGTTTCAATACTGATGGTAATTGTTAGAACTGCTCCTTAGCGAAAGCTATGTGAGGATATGAAACTTGTACCTTTAACAGTCCTCTCTAGTGCCCACTCTTCCTTTTAAGCGTATCAGTGCTTAAGATCCTTACAATTCTTGGCTGCCCAGGAGCTTCCATATCAGCGGTTCTCAACCTGTGGGTCGCGACCCCTTTGGGGGTTGAACGACCCTTTCACAGGGGTCGCCTAAGACCATCAGAAAACACATATATAATTACATATTGTTTTTGTGATTGATCACTATGCTTTAATTATGTTCAGTTTGTAACAATGAAATTGGGGGTCACCACAGCATGAGGAGCTGTATGAAAGGGTCGCGGCATTAGGCAGGATGAGAACCGCTGCTCCACATGGACACTCTTCATGTTCTGCAGCACCTCTGTCTCACCCACCCACCTGAAAACTGATCAGTAATGAAAACTAATCCTTGACCACATTTCAAAATGACTAGCTAGATCATCTAATTGATTAATGTATGATAATTGTGTTAATAAGATCCTATCCACTAGGGTTGAATCATGGCTCCACCTCTTTCTTGCCCTGGAGCAAGTTATTAAACTTTATTTTGCTTCAGTTTCCTCATTTGTGAAATAGAGATAACAAGAGATATCTTAGAGGGCTATATGAGAATTGCACAAATTAATATAAAGCATATAACATATAAAGAAATTAACATAGTAAAAAGGAAAAGGGGGTGGGGCTTGCAACCTAGTTCAGTATCTGGTTAAAACTGTGGTCTTACTTCCCCACTCTGACTGACTTGGGCGGAGCTGCAGAGCCAAACCCCAGGGCACAGCCACAGCTGATTTGGGTGGAGCTGTGGGGACCCTCAGGGGCCGCCACAGGAGGAGATCCAGAGGTCAGAGCCTCCCCATGAGTTCAGTTCAGGCTTTGGATCCAGAATACCCTGGACTAGCAGATCTGCGAAATAAAGGTTAAACTTTCCTCCCTCAGAGTGCTGGCTGATCCTTCTCCCATGCATTCTCCCACAACAATAATACGTGGCATATAGTAAGTGCTCAATAAATATTAGCTATCTTCTGGAATTCTTTTCTGTCAGGTTTGGTGCATCTTTAACCAGCTGAAGGGAATCCTTCACAAACTGCCAACTTGGCTCAACGAACTGCATTACCTGATCCCAGATGCTGCCGCCGAGGCCTACCCCGCCTGGGACAGGTAGCACTGGAGACCCTCCTGAACCTGGAAAACTGGTCACTAGGCTCCATCCCCCCCGAGCTAAGAGAGGTCCCCCCCCCCCCCCCCGCCACACACACATACACCTCCTTTCATTGGTCCTTTGCCTGTAGACCTCCTTATACATCTTAGTGGCCGGTATCAAAAACCCCAGGATAAATGTATTATGACACAATGTAATATGCTGGGAGTCATTTTCCTTTTCATAGGGATAATTTCAGTTACAGAAGTTGTGTGTTTTAAATGTAAAAAAAATTCAGACAAATTTTTTAAATTGATTTTTAGAAAGAAAAACATTGATTTGTTGTTCCACTTATTTATGCATTTATGGATTGCTTCCTGTATGTGCCCTGACTGGGGATCAAACTGGCAACCTTGGCATTTCAGGAGGATCTAACCAACCAAGCAAGGGCCAAGCAAGTTCTTAAGCCCTGTTATCTCTGCAATGATTTAGTGTCCAGACAAAATTGGCATCCTTTTAAAAACTTGACTTTTTTTCTTCTGCTCCTTGCCTTTTTCATAAATGGGAAATGTAACCTGTTGTATGAAGAAGCCACAGACTGAAAGCAAAAAGGAAAGACAGGAAGGAAGATACATAGTTTCATATCATAAAGCCAAGCTAGGAGAGAGAGCAAATCCTTCTCATCACTGGCATCTCTTTGCCAGTGATACTTAAATTTGCCAGTGTAGAGGGTGATAATGCACACCTCGATCTATCTTCCTAATGAATGCCTGTTTAATGAGACTTGAGCTGTCTGCATCTGTTGGTCCAATTCTATTCTTCTGTTTTAAAACATTCGCAGTTTTTGCTTCTCTCCTTTTACAGTCAATTATACACATTCATTATTTTCTAATTAAAAATTTGTTTTTGAGGCTGGCACTCCCTCCCAGGAGCACGCCCATGCCTTCATCACCCCTTTCTTTCCCCAAAGGCATGCATCTCCTAAACTCTAAGGGACCCCACGTGGCTTGCAACTGAAACAGGGATTTGAGGGGTAAAATAGGACAGGTTTAGGAAATTTTAGAAATTAAGGGGACCATGGAAGAAGCACAGGGCTGCAGAGCAGCAGAAGGTATATTTCCATAGAATAGGGGAGCTGGGAACAGCAAAAGGTCTATATTTACAAAATAAAGAGAAGGAAGCCCTTCATCCAGAAGGAGAAGAAGAAAGCCCAAAGGGAATAGGAACGCAATAAGGAAGGGGGTGGGGAACCTCTCATGTCCCATGTGAGGTTCCACCTTTGAGCCCAGGAGTTACTATAGTAACCAGTGTAAGGGAATGCTGACCAATCAGAGGGGACATCAAGGTGACAAAGAATCTGGGTTCCAGTCCAAAAATTCAGTTTCACAACCAGGGCAGCAATTGGCAGCAGCAGTTTGTCCGAGACAAACCCCTGAATGTGACCCCAAGGCCCCCTTTTCTCTGACTTCTTAGTAAGCCGAAGAAGACCAGCCTAGGTTCATTTTCCCAGCCCTTCCTTGTTTCATTATCCCCAGCTTTAATAAACATCCTCCAAAATTAAAAAACAAATACTGAAATGTTAGCTTTATATGTCCTTACCTCCCCTCCAAACTCAGACACTAGCCAACCCTTTGACTTTTCTTGAGTGGTCACATATCGCCTGAGCTATTTCTGTCATGAGTTTAAAAGCACCATGCATAAGTCATTCCCTATTTTCTTCTTACTCCCTTTCAATTCAAAATATATGCTGTCTTGGCAATATGGAATGATACATTTCAACAGAGCACACTTTATAAAATGTCTGTTAAACCATTTTTATTTTATAGAGTAGCAAATGTTCATGTCTTAAATATTGGCCAATTCTAGGTACTTCAGAATGGAGTTTATATAATGCATGCTCCAAATAAAGATATCATCGTATGTCATGAAGTTAACTTAATGGTATTATCTTCAAATAAATGTTTCCATCTATCTTGTTCCTCAGACCATTTTCAATTATAAACTGGAAAGTAAAATTGAAATTGTCAAGTCCCATCAACAAGTGTTGATTAAGCATATCTCAGCTCTTTAAACCTACTATCGATTGTAATGCTGAGAACATGCATTTTCTTTCTTGATTTCTCTTTTTGTTATTGCCTTTCCATGTATCTTTGTGATTTATAATCTCTGAGCTATTGAGCTTCTGAATACGGCTACTAAAATAACTACAATGTTCAACTAAATTGGGAGAAAATTAAACTTTTCTTCAAAATGATTTTCTGAAATAAATGGCCAAGGGCAAAATTTGAAAGTTAAGCCAAACCCTCTGTATTTCTAAACAATTTATTCTTTGAACATACAGAATAACTACAAAAAAAAACAACAAGTAAGAGGTATAGTAGGTACAATTGATCTTCATTATTTTCAGATTCTGTATTTGGAAATTTGCTTCCCTACAAAAATTTATTTAGTAAATCATAATCCAAAGTACACACTCGCTATGCGTTTTTTGGCATTTATGGACATGCCCAGTGGTGAGAAATTTGAGGAACCTATGTGAAGGTTCCCAGCTGAAATCAAATAAAGCAACATTTGCCTTCTTTTTCCCGCTCCCATACAAGGTAATAAAGATATTATTCATGGGGAAGAAAAGGTAATTAAGAACCTTCAAATATTCTCTTTAAGCATTCTTAAAGATAAATTTGCTGAGCAAAGACACCTTTATTGTTTGGAAACAAGGAATTATCTCTATCAAAATAAATCAACCTAATTTCAGTACTCCTGTTATAGAGCAGTCCAAGGGCATATGACCCGGTGGTCTTGGCATAGAAAGATGCTTTATTAATTTATTTGTTTAGCTGATTCTTTTGACAGTTTTAACAAAATCCCATTTAAAATACAACTGATAATTGTTCTTTTGCAATTTTCTTTGGTGCTAGGTTTTTCACATTTTTTTGGTGGTGATTTTTCTGTTTTAAATGGATCCCAAGCATAGGATGGAAGTGCTATCAAGTGTTTCCAAGTGACTTACAAAGAAAATGCATGTTAGATAGACATCATTCAGGCATGAGTTATGGTGCTGTTGGTTATGAATGTTATTAAACATATAAAATATATTAAACAAGGTATATTTAAACATAAACACACATAAAACATGGTTATAGATTGATCTGGTTGATGAAGATGTTGTAACCAGAGGCTAGCAGGAAACTAACTATGCATTTCCCCTAGGAGCAATGGTTTATAAAACATAACTACCATTTTTAAAACATAACTACCTCAGATAACAATAATCAAATGTATTTTAAACCATAAATTACTTAGAAATGACAGAAAGTCAGCTATGCAAATAGATGAATAAAGTACCTTTTTTATGCCAAGATCAACTGGGACATAGGCCCTTGGGCTTTTCCATAAGAGGAGCACTGAAATTAAGTTGATTTATTTTGATAAAGATAATTCCCTGTTTCCAAACAATAAAGATGTCTTTGATTAACAAATATATCCCTAAGAATGCTTAAAGAATACATTTGAAGATTCTAGTCACATTTTTTTCATATCTTTATTACATTGTCAGCTGATTCAAATATACTGATACATTGTCAGCTGGTCTTTCGCTTGGAACCAATACTGTGATGTTCCTGTACTGCTTTAGCCACTTCTTGGTGTCTCAGCTAAAAATGCCTGTCTCAGTTCCACCTGGAACTCCACCACAGGTTCTGGCTGCTGCTGAGATTGTCTCAGGCACAGCTGACAGCCTTGGTTGTTCAATGAGGCTGTCCTGCATTTGACTTGGACTTGCACCTCTGGTACGTGGTCTGTCTCAGGAGTATGCAGTTCCTGGCCCACTCCATTGAGTCGCTGGCCACTCATACCAAAGCATAAGAAATCTCCAGTAGCCGCTCAGCTCTTCTCAGTTACCTTAAACACAGCAACAGTGAACATGTGTGATCAGAATACCAAAATAATTATTGCCGGGGTAGATAACCCCATAGAATGAAATAATTTAAAAGTCAGGGATCAGAGAGATTTTTCTCTTTGTCTAGCTTCCTAAAATGCATATTAAGATACTACATGCCCATCCAGGTGTGACTCAGTGGTTGAGCGTTGACCCAAGAACCAAGAGGTCACTGGTTGGATTCCCAGTCAGGGCATCGCTGTTTCTCTCATCATTGATGTTTCTAACTGTCTATCCCTCTCCCTTCCTCTCTGAAATCTATTTAAAAATATTTTTTAAAAGATATTGCGTAAGTTAAATGAGGCCAAATGAAAACAGCTAGGTGTGATTTTGTTGTGGGGGTGAGGTGTTTGGTTGTCATTGGTTATTCTTTGAAGCCAACTCTGTCTTTTGGGATAGGAAATGTCTTAGATATAAGTACTACTCTTTTGCTTTGAACTAATTTATTCTGGCTAGCATTTCCATTCTTACAGTACCAAATTTGCAATCTATGGAAGTCTACAAAGTGTTTGACAAGTGACTACATTACAAGCAAAGTAGTGTTCCATTCGTTTGCATTTGAAGTGCAATGATACACCCCAAGTAAGAAGGGCTGTGAAAAGAACAACAGAATCACTCTGATCATTCTATAGGCGAAGCACAGTAAGTGTTGATTAATGTGAGATTTATTGACAGGTTATGAACCAAGGAGCCAAGAGGGTGGCCAGCTGGTCACTGCCTAATGTTTAAAGTGCTGCACCCTAATGATTTTCTCTTTCCTCCAGCACATTTCCTGTATTCCCATATTTAAGTCACAGCACTAATAGATTCCCTACCAGTAACTTTCACCGACTCTTTAGCCATCAGAAGAGCTGCTTACTTGGCACTAATTCTAGGTATTTTCCCTAAAATTTTCTTGGCTTTATTTCTTCCCATTATGCCTTTTAAATAATAAATGTAATTAGTGGTTCCATAAGGCTTAATATTTAAAGCACTTTTATACTTGTTAAAAAGTCAGTCCTTACCACATCCATGAAAGTTAGGCCAACACTGTTCTATCATCTACCCTAGGCGCCTTCTTGTCAGAAATAAAAACTTTATAAAACTTCTTTTAATGAAAGACCATATTTTGTATATCCTCAACAGACCAGGGTGTAAATCCTGAGGACTTAATCAATGTTTAACAAAAATGAGGACATGTGCTAAGATACTACTGAACATATGCCACTTCAAACAAGGGATTGGGTCTTATTTTATTCAGCTGGTATATATAATACATAGCATACTTCCATACACACCTGGGCAATCAAAAGAAAATTGATGACTATGAGTAAGATAAGTGAAATATCCTCCTCCTGGATTCCAAGTGATCATCTAATTAAGGCAAATTATCTTATCCAAGGTTTGCTTATAATAGAAAATGCAGCTTCTGAAAGGCTTAATGATACTGAATTGGTACCCTTTTGGACTAAATTACTTCTTCAGAGAGCAAAATGGTCTTCCTGGAAGAGGTAATTTACCTTAAACATATAAGCACTTTGCCTCAAAGAAAGGGCACCAATTTGCTTTGAGAACTCCATTCGTGAGTTACCCACCCCTCCCACACACACACAAAGAACTGACCATTGCAAACCATTTGCTACTACTGTGTATGTATTTCAAAATACAGCCAGTGTTTGCTTCCATAAAGCAGCTATAATGGAATGTTAATTCTTTGAGGACAGGGATCTGCTCTCAGTGGGAAATTTCGACGGTGACCATTAAAATAGTAAGCTTGTAAAAGGTTTGACATTTCATGAGGGGAAATTTCTTCCTTGCCATGACTAGCACAAATGAGGTGGGATGGCTGGTAACCCTTCATTTGGGGAACAGCCCACGCCTGCTAATTGAATTCATTCTCTGACCCCTTGAAAAATGGCAATAGTCCAGATCCAGGTAATCCCCTTGGTTAGTCTTTTACAAAACAGCTGTTATGAATGCTCATGAAGAACCTCCCTTGCCCGGCCAATGTGGCTCAGTGGTTGAGCATTGACCTATGAACCAGGAGGTGAGGGTTTTATTCCTGAACTCCTGGT